GGTCCTTGTTAACACTGGGTCCTTGTTAACACTGGGTCATTGTTAACACTGGGTCCTTGTTTATACTGGGTCCTTGTTAACACTGGGTCCTTGTTAACACTGGGTCCTTGTTAACACTGGGTCCTTGTTAACACTGGGTCCTTGTTTACACTGGGTCCTTGTTAACACTGGGTCCTTGTTAACACTGGGTCCTTGTTAACACTGGGTCCTTGTTAACACTGGGTCATTGTTAACACTGGGTCCTTGTTTATACTGGGTCCTTGTTAACACTGGGTCCTTGTTAACACTGGGTCCTTGTTTACACTGGGTCCTTGTTTACACTGGGTCCTTGTTAACACTAGGTCCTTGTTTACACTGGGTCCTTGTTTACACTGGGTCCTTGTTTACACTGGGTCCTTGTTAACACTGGGTCCTTGTTTACACTGGGTCCTTGTTTACACTGGGTCCTTGTTTACACTGGGTCCTTGTTTACACTGGGTCCTTGTTAACACTGGGTCCTTGTTTATACTGGGTCCTTGTTAACACTGGGTCCTTGTTTACACTGGGTCCTTGTTTACACTGGGTCCTTGTTTACACTGGGTCCTTGTTTACACTGGGTCATTGTTTACACTGGGTCCTTGTTTACACTGGGTCATTGTTTACACTGGGTCCTTGTTTACACTGGGTCCTTGTTTACACTGGGTCCTTGTTTACACTGGGTCATTGTTTACACTGGGTCCTTGTTAACACTAGGTCCTTGTTTACACTGGGTCCTTGTTTACACTGGGTCCTTGTTAACACTGGGTCCTTGTTAACACTGGGTCCTTGTTTACACTGGGTCCTTGTTTACACTGGGTCCTTGTTTACACTGGGTCATTGTTTACACTGGGTCCTTGTTTACACTGGGTCCTTGTTTACACTGGGTCCTTGTTTACACTGGGTCCTTTACATTGGGTCCTAGTTTACACTGGGTCCTTGTTTACACTTGGTCCTTGTTTACACTTGGTCCTTGTTTACACTGGGTCCTTGTTTGCACTGGGTCCTTGTTTACACTGGGTCCTTCTTTACATTGGGTCCTAGTTTACACTGGGTCCTTGTTTACACTGGGTCCTTGTTTACATTGGGTCCTAGTTTACACTGGGTCCTTGTTTACACTTGGTGCTTGTTTACACTTGGTCCTTGTTTACACTGGGTCCTTGTTTACATTGCATCCTTGTATCCTTTTTCTCAGAATATGACTCCACACCCAGCCTACTAGCATCCGCCTACCTATTTACTGTAAGGAAATATACCTACTCTCCACCTGCCTTAGGATTAAACCCGGGTGCGTCGCTTGTGATCCACCTGAATATGGATGCATTCCTGGAGCGTATGAGCAGCCTCCAATAACTACAGGACTAACACAGCGCCTGTACCTGAGATGAAACAGGTGAAATGTCACTGGACAAATTATTCCCAAGTAGGACTATTCTTGTAACAGGTACCGATAAATGGCTTTTGATCCTAGAAGCTGTAGTTAATCTTCCCCTGGATGAAGCCTGTCATTCCACACTCAGTGTATGATTAAAGTGAGTTTTGTGGTCACCCTCTCCCCATCCCCGGCTAGAACAGTGTGTCAGGTAAGTGGACACAGATCCAACTAATGTGAGATTTTATTGCGGCAACGTTTCGCCCTCCAGGAGCTTTATCAAACCGTTCTGCCATAATTACTAGAAGAGTGTGGTGTGGTTACAACAACGTGCGGACCTGCCAAGTGTCTTCCCACTCCCTCCTATTGATATTAACACTCGCATTACCAGAAATATAATTGTGAAAATTGGGCGCTCATGTAAGCGTGCTCAACCTGCACTATAATCCCGTTCAATCCATAACACTGTCTCCAGAATGTCTGCTTCTACCCTCCCCCCACCCCCATCTCTCTCTCTTTAGCTTTGCACTGCCTATTATTATCTAAAACAATAATGAAAATTATGACAGTTATAATTGTATATTGTTTCATCCGGAATTATATAGGAACTGTACAACTCTGTACCTAGACGTATATACGTGTACTAACACTAACAATATATATATATATATATATATATATATATATATATATATATATATATATATATATATATATATATATATATATATATATATATATATTATATATGAGGCTGGAGGCAGTGGAGATGTCATGTCTGAGGGCAATGTGTGGTGTGAATATAATGCAGAGAATTTGTAGTTCGGAAATTAGGAGAAGGTGTGGGATTACCAAAACTATTATCCAGAGGGCTGAGGAGGGGTTATTGAGGTGGTTCGGACATGTAGAGAGAATGGAACAAAACAATGACTTCGAGAGTGTATAAATCTGTAGTGGAGGGAAGGCGGGGTAGGGGTCGACCAAGGAAGGGTTGGAGGGAGGGGTAAAGGAGATTTTGTGTGCGAGGGGCTTGGACTTCCAGCAAGCGTGCATGAGCGTATTTGATAGTGAATGGAGACAAATGGTTTTTAATACTTGACGTGCTGTTGGAGT